AAAAAAAAAAAAAAAACAGTAATTGTTAAGTATATATAAACATTGATTAATCATAATTTGTTGGCAAATATGTATATATATTTTCATATTAAAACAACATAAATAAAAAGATGATATTTTGCTATATAAATATGTACTTTCGTTAAAAAAATAAAAAATAAAATTATGAGGCAAATATGTAGAAAAAATTAAAGATTTTTTTACAAAGATATAACTATAACTATACATGACGTAGAAATATTCTCATACAGTCGCAATTGGGCTTAATTTTGAAAGTTCTGCTTGGCCTAGCTTTACTATAATTTGGGCTTCAGCCCAATTATTCACTCAACTGTCCAATATTATGTTTGGGCTTATCTTCGCATATTGGTAGTCAGAAAATCAAGTATAAAATGAGGAATTAAATCTTCCGTATACGACTATAGTTTTTTGTAGTTGTTCATGTTTAAATATAAGAACATCACACTAAGAACTGAAATAAACTTGAGTTCGTAAGATTCTCGTGTATTTCGACACGGGTACTTTTCCAACATTTCTTATGTTTATGGAGCTTTGAAACCTTTATTTATTTTTATGGAGTTTGAAACCTTTTATCTCTTGCAAACAACCTCAAGCTAATTCACGACAGGGTGGCTTAAGAACTTTCTGGAATCACAATTTGATCGCCCCCTCGAAACTTTGAAGCCGCACAATCGGCGGCAAAGAGTCCCGAGACTGCGAATTCCTTCTCTCCTCCAAGAACCGGCATCGACACTCCCATCTTCGCCCGACTCACGTACCCTCTTGCGTATGTCCGACCCAAAACCCCACTCACGCCCTCGCCTAGCGAGAAGAACTTAAACCCTAGCTCGAGATGCGCAAAGCAGTTGTCCTCCGTGATTCCATAATTATGGTTTCTCGACTCTTGCAGCGTTATCGGGACTACCTTGGCTGAAATCTCGAAAAGCCCCTCAACCCGGATGTTTGCCCCGTTGGCGGTCCCATCCCTTTTGATGGAAATCGATGGGAGGCCACTGTCGGGATGCCACGTGGCGCCTTCGGTGGTGGGAAGGGTGACACGTTGGCCGTTGAAGGCTAGGGAGAGGCGGTCGACCGCGTCACTCCACTTGGCGGTTCTTTGTGCGCCTATGTAGAGTCGGTGGGACCCGAAGAGGACGCCGACCGATTGAACCCACGTGAAGTCCCTCTTCATGTTCATGTTGCGTTTTCCGATGAAGTGGGCGTTGATGTGGAGGTCCGAGTCGGTGACGAGGCAGAAGTCCCGGTCCTTGCTGCCGTGGAAGTAAAAGGTGATTCCGTCACCACCGATGAAGCGTGGATCTTGGCAAACGCCGCCCGGCATGTCGCACTCTGTGGGTTCCATTATATTCGATTTAGGGTTTGATTTTGAAATATATAAATATACTTATATATAGGACGAAGCCAGAAAAAAATATGAATATGGCATGACTCGATTTAAAAATACAATCATAGTTTATTTTAAAATAGATTTTGGAAGTAATTCTGGCTTTTTCGTTTATTTATATTATTTACAAGTTTATTTATTTTATTTTTTCAAATGTTTTGCTTACTGCAAGTGATGAGCGATGCAGGACTTACTGCAGACGGGCTTGCATGTTGTGCAGTCGATTTCGCACGTGTTGGGGCACGACCTAGGGCAGACGTGTTGTATGCCGTAGCATTGCGGGTAGTTTCTCTTTCTGCACCTCCTTATCCTCCTCCTTCTCCCCTTCCTCCCCCGAGCGGCCTCGGAGGAGTCGTCAGCTAGAGGTCGGGAGATATTGCCGAGAGGAGAAGGAATAGATTGTGGCGGAGTTTGGGGTAGTTCGGGTGGTGAAGTAATTATGGGTTGATATCCCTTATCCTCCAAAGGCGATGGGGACTCGAACCCTATTGAAGGGATTGTGGGGCCCACGCCACATAGGGGTTTACACGAGACGCACTCCACGGTGCAGGAGTCGGGGCAGAGCTCGGGGCAAACGTGCTCCGAGTTGTAGCAATGCTTGTACTTCTTGACCGAACATTTGATCACATGGCTCGGGTTTGCTGCCATTGCCATTGCAAATAGCATCAATGCCAAGGCCCAAGCAACGCTAATGAGTCTCAACCGCCGAGTCATCGGGTTGAATTTCACTAATATTTTTGATTAAATTGGGACTTAGTTAATTCGATTATTATATACTTGTATTGTGTTTAAGATCATTTATAGGTGTTGGGATTTGGGGGCTTTTTGAAGGAGTTCCTAAAATTCTGGATCATAATAGTTAGATAAATGTGTTTGGAGGGATCATCTTATAACTGTGGCTCTTTTGAGAAGTCAATTTCATGTGATGTATGGTTAAATATCATGTGAGTGTACCCGTTTGCTTTTAGAGTGAACCCATCACATGTTTTCGTTGTATTATTATTGTTATTAGGGCAAATAATTTTTTGTGTTTTTGGGATTTTTAACTTAAAATATTTTTTGTTGTAAAATGCAACTTGAACTATTTGAAGGGTCAGACCTTTAAATTAGGTATAATCCGCTAATTTAGAAGAAATTTACTAATAAACAAACAAGTTCAATATAAGTAAGTTTTGAGAAGAGATGAATTATAGAACCAACACAAGATTTTTAAAACTATTATACAAACCTGCATTTACTAAATAGTTATTTATAAACTATTGATAAAACCTCTTAATCTAATCAGCTATTACAATTGACGAGTCAAACTGTCAATTAGCTATTCCCTATTTTCTCATAGCCAAAGAAGTCAAAATCATAATGTATAATAATATAGGCGAATTTTCATCTTTACCATGTACCTTGAAAATAATTATAATTGTACATTTGAGAAATCTTAATTGCACATCTACGTAATTGGGCATATATATTTGCATATTTACCTAATCCCTAATTCCTAATCCTGCACATTACCAAATCTCTAATCCTTGCACATCGTAAAGTCCAAAAACTGACATCACCGCTGCCCTCAATCGAGAAGCTCCAGGCCGCATGCAACAGTCCATGGCTGGCGCGCAATGGGGTTCCACGGTCGAGTGCGACCGTTCCACGAAAGCTTCTGGTTGTCGCCTGATGCGCGGGATGCGAGCGACTGGTCTGAGCCAGATGACGTAGGCCTGCATCTCGCCGGCCGCACGCTGCACGGAGAGAGAAGCGAAAAGGTTGAGGTTGTGCGACGTCGTCGTACTTGTCTGAATGAAGGTGCGAGGGTGGTTGTGTGTTGCTCGCAACTCACCGAATATACTCGGGCTGGAATGAGCGGGCTGAACGTGAAAGGACACGAGATATGCGCAAGAAGAAGATGAACAATCAGATATGAGACTTTGTCCCAGATTCGCTGCCGATGTCTTTGTTCATAACGTGTATATATTCTATGTATATATAATATTGTATGTTATTTTGTACATATTCCGTGTATATATTCTCGCAATACAATAGTCTCGAAATGCAGATTATATAGTGGAAATATATACGGAAGATATACAGACTATATACGAATGTCCTTCTTCTTTTTATTTGTTTCTTTCAGTTCGTTCATCACTACCAACAAACACATCCTCGATCAACATCTTATCCCATGTCGATCATTTCATCTTAAAAAATCGGGATCTTGTTCAGGGTTTGCCTTTGCGAAAGTGTGAGACTTTTTATTCCGTTGTGGTCTCTTCTTCTGCGACTGTTGTTCCTCGTTGGATCTGATTGCGTCGGGTCGCCTCGCGAGCAAGGGCGTTATGTGCTTTGCCGGCGACGGTGGAGGGAAAGGGCGCATCTGAAAGGGCAGAGGGGTCAAGAGGACACCGTTCGAGTTTGCGGGCGAGTTTTTGAACGTGCTAGGGCTGTAAAAAGGGAATCCTGGTATATCTACAAATGAAAATATGATTTTAGGTGGGATTGTTTATACCTACAATAGATTTTTAATTGTGTAAAACTGAAATGTATGGTGTAGGGGGTAGTGTTGTTAAATTAAACGAGTCTGACTCGGGTCGGCTCGAGTTTGAGGCCTTAACGAGCCGAACTCGAGTTCATTTAAAGCTCTCTTAGTTGACAAGTCGAGCTTGGCCCAGCTCGATAAGGCTCGAAAAGAAAATTTTTATATAATTTTTTTATAGTTTGGCTCGTTAAATTTCAAGATCGACTCGAGCTCAATTTTTGGTTCGTTTATTTAGCGAGCCGAGTTGACCGAGCTCAGCTCGGCTCATTAAGAGCTCGAGCTCGAGCTCGGCTCTGCTCAGCTCGTTTACAAGCCTAGTAGGGGTAATTTTCTGAGTTGATGCTTCATGGGACTTCATGAAAGAACCTAGAGGCCGGCGATATTCTGAAGGCCCATCTAACAACCATTCTTTCATTGGGGCCCAAAAATTAAACCAGACTCAGTTTCCATTTCGAAGGGACTTGTTAGAGAATCATTAGCACACAACCAAACGGCTAACCATATCTAGTATCCTTTATGAAATACTTTTTTAAAAATATGAGAATCAGCGGAAGCCACGCCGCGTCGCAGCTATAGCCCGCCTCCATCCCGCTGGCAATGTGTAGTAAAATGAAAATCAAGCCGGCTGAGAATGGCGGCTTCGCGGGTTGAGAGTGGGGACTGCCCTGACTCGATTGGGAAGGATGAGAGAGGAGAGTTTGTTTTGTACTCTGATAACAAATAATTCAGTAAACCAAATAAATTTCTCAAAGTAGATTAGGACATTCGAATAGACAAAGAAAAGTACAAAATAAATAAATAAATAAATAAATAAATAAAAAACACAAATATAAGAAGTTATTGACACAGATCATTTCTCCGTGTATTTATTCCTTTCTTAGCATGTTCTTTGTGATTTTATTTCCTTAACCCGTTATTGATACGTAATATAGTGACAAATAATGAAGCTAAGTAAGATTATGAAGCTCTCATCTCTTGCAAACAACTCCCTTCCCATCAACACCACTGCTACAGTTGATGGCCGGCAGCTCGAGAACACTTCCTAGCTGCATTTCGCCGCTTTGAAACTGCGAAACTTCGCAATCAGCAGCGAAAAGGTTCGAAACCGCAAACTCCCTTTTCCCGCCAAGAACCGGCATCGGCACTCCCATTTCCACCCTACTCACGTAGTTCTTCCCGTAGGTCTGCCCCAGTACTCCATTCACGTTCTCGCTCAACGAAAAGAATTTGAAACCGAGCTCGAGATGCGCGAAGCAGTCGTCATCGGTGATTCTGTAGTTGTGGACTTTTGACTCGTGTTTCGTGATGGGGACCACATTTGCCGAGATCTTGAAGAGCCCTTCGACCTATATGATCACGTTGTTCGTGTCGGCGTCCCTTGTCACGTTGGCGGAAGGGAGGTTTGTGGCTTTCCATTTGAAGCCCTCGGCGGTTGGGAGGGCAATGGGTTCGCCGTCGAACGCGAGCGAGAGTCGGTCGACGGCATCGTTCCATATTGCGGTTTTCTGCGTGCCGACTAATAGCCGGTGGGGCCCAAAGAGGATGCCGATGGATTGGACCCACGTAAAGTCACGCTTCATGTTTTCGTTGCGACGACCGATGAAGTGGGCGTTGATGTGGAGGTTCGGTTGGTTGACGAGGCAGAAGTCACGGCCCTTCTTGCCGTGGAAGTAGAAGGTGATGCCGTCCCCACCTATGAAGCGAGGGTCCTGGCAAACCGCGCCTGGCATATCGCATTCTGCAATCCAAAAGAGGAAACTTGTTAGTCGTGAATTAAGTCTCATGTTAAAATATAATTGGAAATAAATACTGATGATCATCAATCGGGTGCATGACTTACGACAGACAGGTCTGCAGGTGACGCAGTCGATCTCGCAGGTGCGTGGACAGTAAGCGGGACAAACGTGTTGCACGCCATAACAGTGGGGATAGTTTCTATTCCTGCACCTCTTTCTCCTTCCTCCGGCAGCTTCTGATAAATCTGTCGGAGGTGTGGGAACATCGGCAGGAGGAGGACGAGTAACTGGTGATGGAGGTGTAGGTGTTGATGGAGTTGGTGGAGAGTTTGTGGGAGTCGATGGTGGCGGAGTTTGTGGTGGTGTGATGGGGATAGATGGAGGAGAGTTTGGTGGTGAATCCGACATTAGAGCCGGTGGAGACTGCGGTGGTACGGGTGTTGGAGTTGATGGTGACGGTGGTGGTGTGACGGGGATAGATGGAGGAGAAAATGGCGGTGAATCCGAAATCGGAGTCGGTGGAGACTGCGGTGGTGCAGGTGTTGGCGTTGGTGGTGACAGTGGTGGTGTGACGGGGATAGATGGAGGAGAATTTGGCGGTGAATCGGGCACGGGAGCTGGTGGAGACTGTGGTGGTACGGGTGTTGGAGTTGGTGATGACGGTGGTGGTGTGACGGGGATAGATGGAGGAGAATTTAGCGGTGAATCGGGCACCGGAGCTGGTGGAGACTGCGGTGGTACGGGTGTTTGAGTCGGAGGAGTTTCGTTTCTATCATCACCACCTCCCTTTCCATGTCCTTTTCCATTATCATCATCGCCTTTTCCACCTCCCTTTCTATGTCCTTTTCCATTATTATTATCATCACCTTCTCCACCTCCCTTTCCATTTCCTTCTCCATTATCATCATCACCTTTTCCACCTCCTTTTCCATTATCGTCTCCTTTGGAATCATCGGAACCTATTCCAGGTGAACCCTCCGGTGGCGATGGGGACTCGGAGTCTGGCGTTGGTATCGTCGAGACGCCGCCACATATTGGTTTGCACGAGACACACTCGACCGAGCAGGAGTCGGGGCAATACTTGGGGCACACGTGCTCCAAGTTGTAGCAATGCTTGTACTTTTTTATCAAGCACCTCGCGTGGCTCGGGTTTTTGGCTATTCCCGGCGGGGTAGCCTCTACTATTATTGCTACCACCATCAACCGCCAATGCCGAAATATTCCATCTCAACGGCCTAGCCATACTCACTAGTTATAACAGCTTTATTATGTTGTTATTGTAAAGATACTTAATTGGATTAATTGGAGATGGGATGTTAGGAGAGGCACAATGGATCTTATTTATACAGGTGTGAGTGTGAACCGATTGCAGTTACTTCGGATCGTAATGTTGTATTTAAATTGGTTGAGTACAAGGGATTCATGAAAATTGTGATTATATTATTGGCTATCTGATGGTTTTAACTTTTAAGGAGTACAAACGTTTGACTTTGTTGCTTTGAATGGGATTTGGCATCACTTAACCATCAAGTCAAAGAGAAGCACTTTTTTGTGACTTGTATTAAATATTAATTGAACATTTTAGGTACATTTGATCCAGGTGGTACATGCATGCATGATGCCATACCCAATCAGGTAGCTAGACACTAAACAGTCGTATGCCCACGTTAAAAGTTCACAAATTTATCATTAGTGCAAAGTGAATTCATCAATACTGCAGAAGTTACTCAAATCAAATTTTCTGCTTTACGTTACATAGCATTATGAACCATATTTGAAATTTGAAGTAGGGAAAGAACACTATTCTGGAGCAGGAGAACCTAAGCAAATACCAAAATTTATCGATTTTTCTTGTCTACTTCTCTTTTATTGGCAATACAAGATGTTTTGTGACCTTCCATATTAACAAAACACATAACTTGCATAAGGATCGAGCACGGCATGCACAAAAGCTC